GCCATTTCTCTGAAAGTTGTCATTACCGGCATAGTAGACCATAGAATTGTCCAATTCAAAATGGCCAACACCAGTCCATTTCAGCTCGCTAATGCCTAGGATATTGATGTTTATGTCTTCCATTTCATTTTTGACAATTTCCAATTTTCCTAGATTCGTACTTCATACATTCCATGTTCTGATTATTAATGGATGTTTGCAGCTCTTTCTTCTCATTTGGAGTCGTGCCACAACCGCAAATGAAGGTCCTGAAAGCTTGACTCCATCCGTGTCATTAAGGTCGACTCTACTTTGAGTAGGCAGCTCTTCCCCAGGTGTCTTTTGATGACTGTTTGGAAACAAGGGTTTTTTTTGTCAGGTGGGTCAAAGTCAGTCATCTATGAGTAGGGGTGTCTTAGTCCTAACCCCTTCTGAATGGTGTCTTATAAAAAGGGAATGACAGACAGGGGGCGAGGAGGAGGACAATGAGTGCTGACTAAGGCAAGCATCTGGAGTAGCCAAGGATCGCCGGCCAACTTCAGAGCTAGGGGAGAGGCCCACAGAAGAAATCATGGCCGAGACCCTGATCTCAGACCCCCTGCCTCCAAGTGGGAGGAAATAAACTTTGCAGTGATGGAGACATTATCCATTCAAACCACTAAGACCACAGCCCTGCTTCCAAATGCCAGACTGCGTGCGGTCTCCTGCCTTCCTAAGGACCTCCCACCCAAGCCTTAGCCACACTTGGGGGGTCCTCTGTGCCAGTTTGGGTCTGGTGATCATAACACAATCAGGAAGAAAAGGGGGTGTGACTTAGGCCAGAAGTTTCTAACTGAATCCAGCCTTCAGATGTCTTGTCTTTGGCCCACAGTGTCAAAACAAACAAACAAACAAACAAAAAAACTAATTTGAATTAGATCTAACGTTTATAAATTGAGGGATTTCAAATAAAAATTTCTGGTCTTTCTTGAAGAATCTGAACAGCATCAGCAGGCCCAGAGGCCCATGTGAAAAATGGGCTGGGTCGCGAGCAGCAGGGCCCTTTCACATGAGACCCAGGAGCTGCATGCCCTGCTCTTCACCACTCCCTATCGCCCGTCCACACCCAGCCCCTTCACGCCCGAAACTTACCTGGGGTCCATGGATGATACCAGAGCTTTTAACCTCTGACCTGGAATGTCTCTCAAGTCTCCAGCCCACTCCACTTCTCTGTGATTTCTGAGTAGGATGCTTTAGTAGCGGGCAGGGCAAGAAGGGTTCACGATTCCTATGTCATCCATCACAGTTTTCCATCCGACCTGAGCTGAGCCCAAGACCAGGAAGTGTAGACAGAGGGGTATTTTCCCAGAGGCTCCTTCTCTAAGCCGTAGCCCCACTGTCTAAAAGGCCTCCTTCTCTGTCTTCGTTTGCTGACAAGCGGCCCTTTGTCTTCCCCTCTTCCTCGGTATCTCCAGAATCTAAGAGGGGAACATGGTGACTAGACAACTATGCGCCTTCTGTTCTGTGCTGAGTGGAAGCCAGCACTGTGGTGGGGGCAGTCACAGAGGGAGGGGAGGCTGGGTTAGGGGCAGCAGGGCGCAAGAGAGCCCCTTGCCTGTCCCGAAGCCTGGTTGTCCCAAGGATCCATAATTCTCCGCTCATTCATCCAAAAGTTGTGTAGCGACGGGGCGCTCAGTCCTGGGAGGCCACCCACCTCCCCCTCCTGCTTTCCCACGGTGTCTGCCTGGCACCGTCAGCCAACGAGTGCGCAGACGAGACGGACTGAAGTTAGGAGGGGTGCTTTTCTAAACCTGGTGTTACGGATTGAACTGTGTTCCCCCAAAATATGTGTTGGGATCCTAACCCCTGCACCTGTGGCTGCAATCCCACTTGGGAATGGGGTTTCCTTGATTACGTCAATGAGGCCATGTCACTGTAGGCGTGTCCTAAACTCAATCACATCTGAGTTACAAGGGGCAGCAAGACATGGAGACAAGCAAGCACAAGCGGGGGAAGACAGATGCCACGTGAAGATCACCCTGGAATGGAGGAACACGGTGTCGGAGTAGAACTGTGCACCACAGGGTTTTCATGGCTGATTTTTCAGAAGTAGATTGCCGGCCTTTCTTCCCAGGTGCCTCTGATGGACTCAAGCCTCCAACCTCTCAGTTAGTAGCCAAGCATGTCAATCGTTTGCGCCCCTAGGAGTTCCAGAAACTCAACTGGACAGTGATAAGTGAACGTTCCTCAGACTGAGCTTGTGCCGCGCACATGTCCATGGGGCACAGACCCGCCGTTCCTGTTTATCAGTGAGTGAGCCCCAGGGGAAACCAGTAGGTGAGGGCATTGCTCTAGAAAGAGATTCCAGAGACACAGGTGTGGGCCTCCTGTTGGTAACCCCAACAGACCAATGGACAAAGGCATCTGGGGACATTTGGGGAAATCTGATTGTGGACTGGGTATGCAACGACATTAGGGAGCAGTGTTCACGTTGGAAGCCGTGGTCCCCACTGGTTATGGAAGGAAACGCACTCCCAAGCACACAGGGGTGAGATGATGGGCGCCTGGGATCTTCACTGAAATCCTTCGTCATGGAAAAGGGGGATGGACAGATAGTGCAGCCCAGCCCTGGGGGTCGTTCTAGGAGGGTAGGGAGTAGGGGCACGTGGCTCCCTCCTTAGTGTATGCTGGAAAAGCTCCATGATACAAGAACAAAAGCCTCCTCAATTCAGACACCGTTCACCCACTCGACACGGTCAGCCCGAGTCCTGGAGTCCCTTCCCAGCCTGCCGGGGGTCTGTTCACTCTGATTCACCAATCACCGAGGGCCAGCCCCCACCCCGACCCAGCCTTCCTAGAGGAGGTCCACCAGATGGGTGACCGCCCGCTGGCGCAGACCCCAGCCCTGCCATCACCTGGCCTGTGCCTGGCGGCTGGTACCTCCTCAAAGGGGCATAATGGCATCCACATCTGGGAGACAATTACACAACATAACCTGGCAAACCCTGACCCTGGGCCCCGCTTTGCTAAATGCCCAACAACTAACCACTGCTCTCAGTATTAAAGCAGCCATCCGGTCATGTCACGTTCCTGCTGAAACCATCAATGGTTCTCTACCATCAGGGGTTGCATCATGCCCCCCAACAAGATGTGCTGAAGTCCTAGCCCTTATACTGCAAGCGTGACCTTGTTTGGAAATGGGGTCTGTGAAGATGTCTGTTCACATGGGGCCATTGTGAAGTAGGGTGGTCCCAATCCAACCTGAGTGATGTCCTTAAAAAGAAAAGGAGAAGAGACACAGACAGAGGTAATACAGCCATTTGACAACGGAGGCACAGACTGGAGTGATGCAGCCACAAGCCAAGGAATGCCGGGGGGCCACCAAAAGCTGGGAGACAAGGAAGGATCCTCCCCTAGAGCCTTCAGAGGGAGCACAGCCCTGCCCACACCCTGAATTTGGACTCTCTGCCTCCAGAACCATGAATAATAAATTATCAGCCACAAAATGACAACTGAGGCTGCCCCTTCTGGGACCTCCCCTGTATCCCCCAATCGTCCCTGTGGGGAGAGTGGCTGCCTTCCGTGCCATTGTTGCCTTTGTTGTTTCCGCTGGATCAGGAGCCGGGTGGTAGGGGGCGATGGGGAGGGCCCGTCCTGATGAACTCCTGGTGAGTCTCCAGAGCACCCGCCACAGATCAGTCCCTCACAAATGTGGCCGTCCTCCCCATCGAGGCAGACTCTTGCTCTGCTCACCACACAACCAAGAGCCAACACCCCGAAACATGGCCTGCTGGCCATTGATGACACTCCAGCCTCCAGGATTTCAGGTGTGTGTGGGGGAGTGACTCATGCCCTGCAAATGGAGCCCCCAGAGCCCCAGTCAGAGCCCCAGGCCCAGCCCGCCCGCGCCTGGACACAGCAGATTATTCCCGACACAGTGGCCATGGGTGACTTCAAGTCTATCGCAACAGCCTGCTTCATCTCCCCTGTGCCTGGTGCCATTGTACCTCAACCATGGAAATTCTGGGTGGGGCTGCCAGGGTGGGTGGTCCTTTCGGGAAGCAGAGCCCAGGACCCGTCCCCACGGCCCTTGGTCTGATGGGACAGGTGTATCCCTGCAGGGCTCTGGGCAACACCTCTCAATCAGCGCCATGACAGGAAGAAAAATTAACACACCAACAGCCACACCTCCTCAGACAGAAACACTAACACGACATTCACACCTTGGCAGACAGAAGGAAACACACACGGACAGCCTCAGCTGCTCAGTGATGAAATAAAATTCACACACCGACAGTCACACCTCCTCAGACAGGAAGAATAACTCACACGCCAACAGTCACACCTCCTCAGACAGGATGAATAACTCATACCAACAGTCACACTGTCTCAGATAGGAAGAAACGCTAACACACCGAGAGTCACAACTCTTCACAAAGTGATAAAATAACTCACTCACAATCACACCTCCTCAGACAGAAACACTCACACCACATTCACGCCTCGTCAGACAGAAGGAAACACTCACACACCGACCGTCACACCTCCTCAGACAGAAACACTCACACACGGACAGTCACGTCTCCTCAGACAGTGGTAAAAAAAAAAAAGCCAAAATCAACATGATTTGGCAAAAGCCTTTTGGTTTTTAAATTCTGAACAAAAAAAAACAAAACAAAAACAACCATTCACACACACGAGATTCATCTCATCTGCTTTGAGGAAAAACATTAAAGGAAGTAGAATTTAAAAAAAAAGGCAAACCCCGAATAATGATAAAAATAGACACATCCTCCATAAAAATCTGGACTAAATTATCTAACCATTCACATCTAGTCAGTATTCAGAGCATGAGGTGGGATGCAAGTATAAAAACACAACCCCGAGTCGCTGCTATGTGGCGTCCGTCCGGTGTCCACCTGGCCCCGGACTCAGAGCTCCTCCCTGGCCCGGCCCAGCTGCGTGGCGTGCTCCTCGATGAACTGGCTCAGGTGTTCCAGGTCCCTGTTGGCACCCTCGAACCTGATGGGGTTCTGCTTGTCCCCACTGGGCGCGAAGTAGATGGTGGGGAAGCCGTCCACCTTGTAGTGGTCACTGGTGGCCTCGTTGGCCGTGGCGTCCATCTTGGCGATGACCAGGCCCTTGTGGCCGCGGTACTTCTTGCCCAGCGCGGTGTACACGGGCTCCAGCTGCTTGCAGTGGCCGCACCACGGGGCGTAAAACTCGATGAGCACGTCCTTGCTGGGGTCCAGCGCGATGTCCTCGAAGGTCTTCCCCACCACCACCTTGACCGGCCCCTTGTTGTTCTTGGGCGCCGGCTGTGACTTGATGACCGGCTGCAGTTTCCCTGCCAGGAGAGCAACCAGGGGTGGGTCAGCGATACGGGCCCCCAGCCGGGAAGGGGCAGCGATGGGCAGGCGGCCCCAGGGTGGGCCGGTGCAAACCCTGCCGGGGAGGGAAGGGCCTGGCCGAGAGGCTGCGGGCAAGGTGGGTCCTGCCCACCAGGCAGCCAGACGCACGCTGTCTGGGGTAGAAGGATTTGGGGACCCTGGCCCCACAGGAGAGCGGGTGGATGAGGCCCCACGGCCGCGGAGGAGCAGGAGCCGTGACCAGAAGACCCGAGAAGGGGGTCTGTCGCAGCACTGCTGGCCCCACCGAGCTCACTAAGACTTCCCTGACGCCTCAAAGCAAGTTTCCCACCTACGCAAAACTTACGTCTGCCCCCCAAAGCCTATTTACTTTCAATATTTTAAACACAAGGCTTCTAACAATTTCCAAGATACACCCGCCATTTTTCTTATTAAGAATAAAGAAAGAAAAGGAGAAAAGAGAGAGAGGAGGAGAGAAGGAGCTGGTGCTGCCCGGGCTGCGCTCCCAAGGCCGAGTGGGTGCGCGCCAGGCTCTGCGTTGGGACGTGGGGCCCCTGTGTGGCTGCCCCTTCAGATTGCCCCGCAGCTCCCGGCTCGCAGACAGACACGGCTGCCTGCGGGGTGACCTCAATAAGCAGAGCTGGACCCCAAAACCCTGCTTTTGCTTTCAAACTGACATTGCAAGGATCGCCCCGGGAAAGACCGAGGTTCCCACATGTTAGAGAAGACTCTGCTGCGCCGTCTTAGTCTAGTCGGGGGGCCACTCCTGTCCCCTCTGATAAGAATGCCAGTGTGTTGGGGGGTCCGGCTCGCCCACCTCAGTGAGGACGCGGGTGGGCCCTCTTCGGGTGCCGCAGCCTGGGGGTGGGGGCCTGCGGGCCCTGGGTGCTCACCCTTCTTGAAGGCTGTCACGAACTCGCGCAGGGCATCGGCGTCGAACTCGGTGGGCTCCATGGCGAACCTGCGCCCGCCCTCGTCCAGCACCGCCGCGTTGATGTCCTCCCCGCTCTCGCCAAGCCCCAGGTCCTTCACCTCCGAGGCGTAGTCGTCCTCATCAGCGATGGCGAATGTGTATTCAGGGAAGTCCTTGGCCACCTCCAGGACTTTGCTCCGCCAGAACTGCGTGGCTAGGGGCACAGGGTGTTCCTGAGTGTCTGCTGCCTGCCCGCCTGCCAGGCCGTCCCCCTCGCCACTCTGCACCTGCCAGGGACTGTCCCCCTCACCCCTCACCTGTCAGGGCCCGTCCCCCTCACCCCCCACCTCCTAGGGCCCATCCCCCTCACTCCCCAGCTGTCAGGGCCCATTCCCCTCACTCCCACCTGCCAGGGCCCATCGTCCTCACCCTCCACCTGCCATGGCCCACCCCCTTACCCCCCCATCTCCCATGACCCCTGCTCACCAACTCTGTAGTCGAAGCTGAAATCCACACTGAGATAGACCACCACCAGGGGCCGCCGGGTGTAACGCTTGGCCTCGGTGGCAACCCTGCGGTGGCCTACCAGCGGCAGGGCGTGCTGCACCACGTGGTCCCTGATGGCCGAGGCCTCCGTGGAGCCCTGTGGGACAAGAGAGGGTATGAGGCGGTGCCCACGCCCCAGCTCCTGCTCACGACGACTATGGTCAGGCCCTGGTGTATGATGGGAATGTTGGGTTTGCCTGTCAAGCACACCGGTGGGGATACTTGGCAGGCTTCAGAAGTGTAAGCAAACCTCGTGGTCCTTCCCACAGATCAAGACCAGATGCAGGAGCCACTGACCAGGCGGGACCCCACCGCAACCCCTGACCCACACAGCCCCAGGTCTGGACACGCCCTGGCCAGAGTACGTGCGAGACAGGCTGCCCTCTGACCTGAGTTCTCTACACCACAGTGCAGTGCAAGGGGTTTGTATTTCCTCAAATACGCACTAAAATCCTGGTTCTCTACCTGCGCACATGACCTTGCTTAGAAATAAGGTCTCCCTCTCGTGTTAACGAGGTCACACAAGACCGTCAGCCCTAAACCGAATGTCTCCAGTCATCTAAAGAGCAAACGCACAGACACGCCGGGAGAGTGGGACACCAAGAACCTCAGGGCCACCGACAAGGACCCCCTAGAGCGGGTGCCCTGACTGGACTTCCAGCCCCCAGAACTGTGAGACAACAAATTCCTGTTCGCTGAAGCCCCCCACGTGGTATTTCTGCTACAGCAACCCTTGCTCACTGATACGGGGTAAGAATCGGGCCAGACAGCCAAGGTCTGAGGAGGGCAGGAGCAGGATCCAGCAGGGGTTCTGGGCAGCAGGGTCCCCATCTTGAGAGTCCCAGGCGTGCAGACTCAGATACACGCAGCAGTGGGGTCTCCTCGTCTAACACCACCGCCCCCTGTGAGCCCCGACAGCGCGCCGGGGATGGGGGTATGATGGGGGAGCCCCGGGCTTCCAAGCCTGGACCCTCGTGGCTGGGGCTCACGCTCACCTGAATGTCCATCACATGGCTCTTGGGCTCAAATCGGGACTGGAACCTCTCCGGCTGCATCACGACCAGTGTCCCCGGTGCGACTTTCAAGAACTTGGCGATCTCGGTGCTGAAAGTGTGGTGGAACCTGTAGTCTTCCCGCAGGCTGTTGGCTGAAGGAGGGACCGGGTGACAGAGAGAATCTACCATGCTCCTTAAACGGCCAGGTTCACCCTGGCCACGCTGGCTGCTTAGGCACCGGGGAGCCAGAAACCTACAGCTGTGTGTGCAGGTCGGGGACCTGAAACCCACATCAGAGTTTGTGAAAGAAACAAGCTGAACGTTCACGGAGCCCAGAGCTGACGCGTGAGGAGCCGCTGGGCTGATGCCGTGAGAAGCTGGGATGGAGCAGCAGACCACTCACAGATGGAGTTTTCATGGCCGGCGCCCTCCCGGGGGGATACGTTCTCCTTCTCGGCTATGGCGGGCCTGAAGGCGGCTCTTTTGCTACCTACACTTCAAAAACAGTTCCCGTGAAAACTCCAGAGGTGAGACCTCGTTGTCTGAGAACTTTTCAGAATAGAGGTTGGCAAACTTTCTGGAAAGGGTTAGACAGTAAGCATTTTTGGCTTTGTGAGCCACGTGGGCCTCAACGACTCAAGTCTGCTGCGGTCACGCAAAAGCAGACGTCGTCAACGAGCGGTAGCTGCTGTGAGTCAATCCAGCTTTATTTACAAACGCCCCCGCCTGGAACCTAGGTAAGCTCACCTCCAAGCCCTCCCCAAGTGCCAGGCTTGTTCTGTGATTTGAGCACAGGGCTAAGCCTCACCAGGGCCAGTCTGCCCGTGAAGACCACCCCACCCACCATGACCACCCAGGCTGGGCGCAGGTGAGCCGAGGCTGGGGCTGGGAAGCCAGGCCTGGGGGGCCTCTGGAGTCAAATTTAGATTTGATCATACCTGTGCCCTGCTATACGCCTCCGGTTCTCCTCCACAAAGGGGAAAGACTAAAGTCCCCTCAGACTGTCGTGGGGGTTAAACAGGCAGCCCACTGCAGCACTCCCCGCCCAGTCTCTCCCTAGTTCTGAGCCTCCCGGGGCCCCAAACCCGTGTACTGAAAGGGATGCGGGTGGAGACGGTCACCGTGGAGGCCATTCCACCCCGCGACCACAGACCCCGGAGTCCCCCCAGCTCCTCTACGTGGAGCGCAGCAGAGGCCACAGTGGCCTGGACACAGCCAGTGCTGCTCCATCTCCCACGTGACGGCCCAAGTGTCCCCAAGGCGGCAAGAGACCAGGCTCCACCTGCCCCGGCCCTGCGCGCTACTCACCCGCCTCCTGGTACTGCTGGTAGGCCGGGTCGCTCTCGGCCTGGAAGACCCCGATGATGATGACGTCATCCCCATCCTTCAGGAATTCCTGCACCTGCTTCAGTGCCATGACTGCTTTGGAGGGAGGCCCAGCCTGCTCCACCATGTAGTCCACGATGCCTGGGACAAGGGATGCTGACGGTGGGCTCAGGGCCACAGAGTCTGCCCACATCCACTCCACCATCCACCCCGTGGCCCACATCTGCCACGTCCACCCCGCACCTCACATCTGCCCACATCCACCCCACCATCCACCCCGTGGCCCACGTCTGCCACGTCCACCTCACAGCCCATGTCTGCCTACGTTCACCTCACCGTCCACCCTGTGGCCCACGTCTGCCACATCCACCCAGCAGCTCACATCTGCCCCATCCACCCCACAGCCCATATCTGCCCACGTCCACCCCGCAGCCATCTGCCAGGTCCACACCACAGCCCATATCTGCCCACGTCCACCCCGCAGCTCATATCTGCTACATGCACCCCACCATCCACCCCGCAGCCCATGTCTGCCCAAGCCCACCCCACCATCCACTCTGCAGCCCATGTCTGCCCAAGCCCACCCCACCATCCACCCCGCAGCCCATG